GGATACCAACCAATCTTGGTGGCTTCCAAGGCACCTAGTAGAGACATTGCTGGCTCAATTGTTATGAGTTCTCGCTCATTAATTGATCAACTTGTCTCCCAAAGGTCTGGACTTAGTGCCAACCATTACTTTCACTTGTCGGCTTTACAGCACTACAGACAGGTGTTTGAGAATAAGAAATTAAAACAGAAATAGGAAAGCTTTTTAGTCCATTTTGCTAATTAATATGTCAGAGCTCATAAAGAAGAACTCATTGGCTTTCCTCAGTACTGCATCATCTGAAAGAGCTGGGTCAGCACAGATCTCTGCAGACAGTCAATACATATTAAAACAGCTCAAGCAGTAAATCAAAACAACAAAAAAAGAAGACGACACAGTGTTTTCTTTTTTTAAAAAAGGTAAAATTTATAAGCCTTTTCTGCCCGGAACTCAGGGAAGCATTAAAGTATTGGTTTGGACATCAGTTCAGTATATAATAAGAAAAAAAGTCAGAAAGAGTTCCTTCTCAGACATACTTTATGACCCTGAGCATAACCAAATTAAAGCATAATTTTTTAAAAAGCCACATGCCAGCTTGGATGTCATTTTCTCTGGATTCTGATGCTCCTTTCCCAAACCAGAGTCATTTCAAAGGATGGATTTGTTGTGGAAAAATACATGTTTTCCTGGGATATGGTTTTGCTCTTTCCTGTTCTAGAACTTGAATGTTTCCAGAAAATGAGCTATGGAAAAAGGTTTAAAATATATTTGGCATTTCAAATTTCAGGCAAACCTGTTGTTTCATAGAGGAGCTGAATAAATGGTATTTTATTTCTAAGCTCTCTTGGTGGGTCTCACCATTACACAGACATAGACAAACTAGAGGAGGGGATGGCCCTACAAGATCAGAAACAAAAGAAGCAGAAGATTGATCACACTGTTAGGGGAAGCCTCTGTAGGAAACAGGTTGCTAGAAGAATCTCAAGAATATGGAATTGATTCCAGAGGGGCTAAGCAGAATGCTACATTTGGGGCCAAGTCTGTTAGAAGGATTTATTTTACCTGGCCCTTTGATGTGATCTGAGCACGGAGGCATCAACTACTTAAGGATTAAACCATGGAAGAGATGCCAAAACTCTTGTCACAAATTTGGGAGATACCCAAGCCAGACCCACAGATGGAACTTGGCACAAAATGGCCTCTCTGTCCATTAAGTAGCTGACTCTGAAGAAAAATTTAACTCAGATGCATTTAGAAAGATGCTGAATATTAGCCCAAATAAGAAGACAGATGATAGATTTAGGCTACTATATACAATTTAATTTCCTGGTAGTCTTGAATAGTATTAAAGCTGCCACATTTCTAAAATTAAAGAGAAAGAAAGATATATTGTTTTGGGTAGGGAGGAGGGAGTCCTGGGGTTTGAACTCAGAGTCTCACACTTTTGCTTGGCTTTTTCACTCAAGGCTGGTGCTCTACCATTTAAGCTACAATTTCACTTCCAGCTTTTTTGTCTGGTTAACTGGAGAAAAGATTTCACGAACTCTTCTGCTGGGGTTAGCTTTGAATCAGAATTCTCAAATCTCAGGCTTCTGAGTAGCAAGGATTATAGGCATGAGCCACCATGCCCATTCAAAATCTTCATAGTGAGAAAAAAGATGCTAGGTTTTAATTTAAATATCTTGAAGGGAAGACTTAGGAACAATAGCTACTGTAACCAACAGTTGTGCAATCCCTTTTTGCATTGTTAAGACAAGTACCACTACAGAAAAGTTAAAATACAATCTGATAGACGATTTAGTGGTCACAGACCACTTGCACAACAGTGTGACTGTAGTTAGATTTAGGCAAATTTGGAAAATGATTCTGTAACTGAATGAGATCGTCAGAAATAAAAGAGACCTTTAAATAGCTCTTATCCCTGCCAATACATACATCAAATCTGGATAAGAGTCCTTCCACAAAACACAGGAAGAGAGAGAAGGGAGAGACAGAGAGAGAGAAAGAGAAGAGAATAGAGAAAGAAAGAAAAAAGAGAAGAAAGAGAAGAGAAAGGACAGGAAAGAGAGAGGAGAAAAAAAGAGGAAAGAAAGGAAGTTGGGTGTGGTGGCACACATCTGTAATCCCAGTATTCAGGGAGGCTGAGGCAGGAGGATCTTGAATTGGAGGCCAGCTTGGGCTATCTAGTGAGACCTTGTCTCAAAAACAAATAGAGGAAAGAAAGAGAAGAGAGAGAGAGGAGGAAGAGAAGAGAGAGAGGAGAAAAAGAAAGAGGAGAGAGAGAAAGAAAACAGAGAGGAGAAAGAGATTGCAATCTTTTTGTGAGAGATGAGTGGTCGACACAATTGGAGCCTAATTTCCAGAAGAAATAAGTGTAAAATGTACAGAGGGGATACTTAGTTTATAAATACATAACCCTCGTCACATGTTTTTCGCAAAGGACATTATTTTCTCACAAGTATCTCTAGTAACTCAGGATTCTGTCATTCACTGTAATGCCAGAGTGTACTGAGGTCAAGATAAGAAGAGCCCCTTCCATTGCACACTCTTGTCAAGTTTCTGGGTGGTTTTGTTGTTGTTTTGTTTTGTTTTCCTCTTTACCTCTATAGATGCCCAGTAACATACTTGATAATGTAATATTAGGATATAAAATACCTCAAAGTGTAAGAAGAGTCAATGTTGGAATGACAGTACATTAGTAACAGAAACCTTTCAGAAGCATCTGATACATTTAAACAATATGCATCATTTGATATAAAGACTGTTGGCGTTATTTCAGTTCACCAGGTACAGTGAACTCATTACATAGAATTCACAAGAATGAAACTGACAGTTTTAGAATTCTGCTGCTGTTGACTTTTTAAAGAATTTGGAAGATTGCTATTTCCTGTCTTGTACTTAGAATAGTAAATTACCTAAAATACCACAGCAATACATTAAGATAAAGATATTCTCAGTTAAAGTGTGTGTGTGTATGAGAGAGAGAGAGTGAGAGAGAGAAACACACACACACACACACACACACACACACACACACACACACACACACACACGGAGAAACAGAGAAACAGAGAAGGAGAGAATATTTCAGCTTGAGCACAAGGTCTAGGTACTCCCCATTAGCTTTTTCACACAATCATGGCACTCTACCACTTGAACCATAGCTCCACTTCTAGCATTATTTGGTGGTTAATTGAAGGTGAATGTCCACAGACTTTCATGCCCAAACTGGCTTCAAACCACGATCCTCAGATCTTGATCTTCTTAGTATCTAGGATTATAGGCATGAGCTAACAAGTACCTGACTGACAGTAACTTTCAGCTACCTGTTAATAGTAGTTTGCTTGTAAATTAAAATTAGAAAAAAGACTTAATTTCTAGCTTTCCTAGAAATGTGTTATTTGCTCATTTTCAAAACACAAGTTGGCAAATATTCTTAAAAATAATTCAACTTGTTGCCTCAAATCCACAAGAATAAATAGCAAGAGTTTATTCTTGTAAACAGGAATAGGAGAACCACAAATGGGGCCAGGCACATCAAATAAGAAGATAAGGTAGGTGATCCTTGGGGATCTTTGGTTATAAGAACCTCTCTTTTAGGCACCCCAAAGTATTTCCAGTAGTAAAGAATTTAATGGATAAGCATGATAGGGAGAAACAATGCAGAAATTCATCTCTCCTACAATCTTTTCTACTCTTAGGCTCTTTAATAGGAGAAACAGGGAGGGGATAATCTAAGAGTTGTGAACTAGGCCTTTCCTGCTGTTATCACTAGAGAATCTAAGGGAAAAAGAAAAGAGAAAAGTATAATCTCGCCCTGGAACATGATGGAGGTAATGAGGCATTGAGGCCACTGACTGCTGGAAGGGTAATTGGCACAGAGCACAGGAGTCGCGTGGTGGCGGGCAGACTTCTTTGTTTCACAAAAGGAGGGATGTCAACAAATCAGAACCCTTTGTTGTTTAGAATGGCAAGGCTAAGAGTCGAATAGATAATTTTTTCCCCTAAAAATAATGCAAACCTAGAAGAAAGGGATTGTTGATGATTTACTACTTCAGCAACACTGTTTGCAGTTGAAATGTGTGTAGAGTGTTCCAGGAAGGGCAAAGAAAGGGAATGAAGGCTACTGGGAAATGAAGAGAAATCCTGGAATTTAGACATAATGATAGAGGAGGCCAAGGAGCCCTCAGTGATAGAGGGGACTTCCCAGAGAACAGCTAGGGCCTTATCTGGGGAGCAGAGGAGGGATAATACAGTTATCTTGTTACTCTTTGGGTGACAGACAAAAACACTTACACACAGTACATATATATTATAGATTTGATATGTACGTACTAGTATATATGCACAAATGCATATATCTATATACTGTGCTAGTACACATGTGCACGCATACATATCTGCATATACATACATACACATCTATGCACACATACACATAAAAATAAATGAGAGAGACATGGCTGTATTTATATTACTCTGGAATTCTTTATCCTGCCATTTTAACAGTGAGTCATCATGGGAAAAATTTCAAGTTTTTTCTTTTTTTTTTTAGTTTTCTTTACATTAAAAAAATGTTTAACGTGTTCAGCTGAGCTACAAGTTTTATTTTTGTTTCTATTTTTGGCCCAAGACTGGGACTCAAAGTTGGTACCTGACACTTTGGCTCACTGGATAGTGCTCTACCAGCTGAGCCACACCTTCAATTCCAGGATGGCAGGTTTTAGATTTTTGGTTTATAATTTAAAAACAAAACCCCCAACCCCAAACCAAAACAACCACCACCACAACAAAAAGAAACCCTTTCTTCTTTCCCTTCAAACATTTTGAGTCAGCATATATTATGCCACAGCACACGCAGCTAAGCCATAATTCATCTTTGTGGAAGACAGAGATGTCTCATATATTAATTAGAAAGCCTTTTGGTGACTGGTGGGCAGAAACCGGTTCCAACTGCGGCTACAACACAGCCAGTGACTTCCAGGAAGTAGAGACGAAGTCAGTTACAGGGAATTTCTTACCTGATCTGTGTCCAGCCAGTCCAGCCAATGAATACACTTTGCTCTCATCAGGCACTTGAAGACAGAAATAAAGAGAGACAAAGATTAGACATGCCTATAAATTAGCCATTTTTAAACCCATATAATAATATACATTCAAAATACATTAAATCTTCTCCTGGCAAAGATTTGAGAATATCTTTCCCCAGCCTACCCTGAGATACCTCATTTTTATTGATAGACATTTTAAAAAACAGCTATGAAAGGATATTTAATTAGCTTGACTATGAGTATATAATTTGTGTGTGTGTGTGTGTAGGTCGGTACTGGGCCCTGAACTGGGCATTGTTCCTTAGCTTTTGTGTTAACGGCTAGCACTCTACCACTTGAGCCACAGCTCTATTACCAGCATGGCTTATCTTGTTTGTTGGATAGTTTGTTTTGGACGGGTGGTTAATTGGGATAAGAGTCTCACAGACTTTCTAGCCCCAGCTGGCCTCGAACTCTGATTCTCAGCCTCTTGACTAATGGAATATTTTTATAATGGTTCTTTTAACTGAGTTATCACTTCCATATCTAAAAGGGGAAAACTAAACTCAAGATGGATCTATAATATATAATAAAGTCCTTTGAGCATAAAAGGAGTATGCATATGTAGTCAAGAGTCAAGGAATTCTGTCTTGTCCTCATGAAGGAAAATGAGAAGCATTTAATTCTTGAGACAATTTTAAATAACTAGATAAAACATCAAGCAGTAATATTCAGTTGATTAGAACTAAGGCAACAAAGGCCAGTGACTCGCAGGAGATGGGAAATAAATGTCGTGAATGTCAGGAACCTCATGATGGCCCCAGCCTGCTGCCTGCCATCTCCAGGCAGCCGTAAAATTGGATCCTGGGCTGAGGACATGATGCTTGATGTCTAGGGAAGTCAAAGCAGGTAAGCAAAGAGAAGAGAAAGTCACAAATTCTATCTAATACTTTCAGAGAGTCCCTTGTGTATTTGAGGGGGTTTTGTTTTGAAAATGGAACCCAGGGCATTGCATGTGCAAGGTTAGCACTCAACCAGTCCAGTCTTCTGCCCAGAATTTTGTATTTGATTTTTGAGAGAGAGTCTCATTACGTTGCCCAGACTTGCCTTGAACTGGCAATCTTTCTACCTCCATCTCCAGAATAATTAAGACTACAGAGATGTATGACCACACCCTACCCCATTTCCCGTTTCATGCAATTCTCATGATCTCATGAATGACCCACCCCGAAGTGGAAAGGAACTGTGTGGGAAGTCACATAGGGTTGTGCACAGCTCACATGCCCAACAGCTGGAGGGGAAAGCTTCCCTAATTCAAGGCATCTGTCAGGATGGGATGGCACGACTTTCCTCAGCATTGTGCAAAAGTTAACCCAATCTCCACACAGCTCTGAGGAAATGGGCATGTTTTGAAAAGCAGGAATGAAGAAAGCTTTTCAAAGGAGAAGTAAATAACAGAAATAACTTGATAATTTTTTAATTTTTAAAAAATATTTTAAAATGAAATTTTAGGTAAAACTTTCCCACAAAGAAAACTAGACCCTGATAGCTTCCTGGCAATTCCTACCAAATGCTGAAGGAAGAACTAATGGATTCTGCAAAGCTCCATTGGACAATTCAGAGAGCTGAGGATTCCCCAATCTGGACAAAGGGACATTGTCATGTGATACTTTTAATGCTATCATGTGAAAATTACTAATTAATATCACTCATGAAAGTCCTTATTCTTTTTAATTTTATCAGTACTGGGGCTTGCTAGCCAGATGCTCTACCACTTGAGTCATATTCCCAGACTTTGTAGCTTTAGTTATTTTTCCAGATCGAATCCTGTACTTTTCTTGTTTTTTGCCTGAACACAGCCCTGTAACCTTTGCATTCATGATAGCTGGGATTACAAGTACACACCACCACACTCAGCTTATTCTTTGAGATAATGTTTTGCTCAGTTTTTGCCTAGAATAACTTCAAACTACAATCATTCTGTCTCTGCCTTCCAAGTAGCTGCATGATAGCTATGAGCCACCACACTTGGGAAAGTTCTTAATCTTTAAGTAGCTTTCCCTGGAGCAGCAGCTACCTATATATTCACCATTGGCTGCTGTCTATGCTAGTGTGTAAAACTCTAGGGTCCAAGGTATGAAGCAATGTGAGGGGCATTTGTTAACAAGGAGGACCACCTGCTTTCCCTTGACTGGGTTGGTCTCACAGAAACAAGTTTCTCCTTGCTCTGACCATTGAATGGACTGCTCAGGTGTTGTACCTAGTCCTTCCCACACCATTTGTCACCCTTTCCTGGCTTCTTCTTTATGTTCTAGATACTATTACTACATGGGTCCTTTGCTGTTTAGCAGTCTTGTTAGGATTTTTATTGTTTCCAATTGCGAGGTATGCCACATGGTATTCACCAGGTGCTAGTGGCTAGACAAATTCCCAACCTAAAAACACTTACAGTGGAATCTACAGTGCAAGTAGAAGTATACTGGAAACGAATGATGATGTTAATTAAAAACAACAGTAGCAAATAGTATATAGAGCCCTGGTAATATCCAGGTTCTGTCCCATGGACTTTGTATCTAATTAACTTAACCTTCACAATGGCCAGGATAGAGAAGTATTATTATCCTTATTGAACAGATAGAGAAACTGACACATATCTCTTCAGTGGAGGAGCTGGGGGTTAATTACTTCACTATATTTATGATAAGAGTCAAAGAGTTTCTATATAAGAAATTTTAAGAATGAGTACAAAAGCCAGGCGCTGGTGGCTTCTATCTGTAATCCTAGCTACTTAGGAGGCTGCGATCTGAGGATCACAGTTCAAAGCCAGCATAGACAGAAAAGTTTGTGAGACTCTTATCTCTAATTAACCACTGGAAAACTGGAAGTGGAGCTGTGGCTCAAAGTGGTAGAGCACTAGCCTTGAGCAAAGAGCTCAAGGACAGTGCCCAGATCCTGAGTTCAAGTCAAATAATCAACCAAAGCAAGAATGACCATGAACAGGCATAATGGTGTAGATCTATAATCCCACCAGTTGGGCGGCAGAGGTATGGGGATCAGGAGTCTGCGGCTAGTCTGGGGTACATAGTAAGACCCTATCTGTGTGGTGACCAAAGTTAAGGATTAGCTGTAATTTCATGTAATATTCAGGGATCTATAATTGTAGAAGGTTCAAGCTCCACTGCTACTTCTCACTTCCAAATGAAAGATTATCTTTCTAAATTAGGATCCTGGTATAGATACTTATTTTGCTGTGGATCCTTGTGCAGTTATCTTAAAAGGTACAAAGCCATTTGAACATTCAGTGTCCCACTCTCAAGTAGACACTGAAGAGAACATTGCTTATCCTTTGGGCTGATGGTGAGGAAGACATGTAAATTGCTTGGAAGATCAAACAGTAAGCACCTCATATATGCCAGCAGTTATCAATATCATTGCTGAGATAATAAACAGAAAAGCAGATTAGCACGATGGGATAGATCAGGGCTGAGCATTGTAAGTAGGTTACTAAACTCCTATTCTTCAGCTTTCTTTTCTGGCTGTATTCAGGACATTATACTTGCCAGGCTGGCACACTATCTATCGTTTCTGCCACATCTATAGCCCTGCAGGTTACCAAATTCTTTTTAACCTTAGTTTCTCCCAAAAATCAGGAATAAAAGCAAGTGCATGGAAATTTGTGTACTTTGCACAAAAATCACATATACAGAAACATCTAGCCCACGGTGACAGATATGTAATTTTGAACCCTTGACGCTAAATGGAGGCTGAAGGGCAGAGTTATGAATTTCATGATGGCCGTGGTGTTTTGATTTCATTTGCTCAGACTCACAAAGAATTAAAATAATTAAGATGATATTATGCTTCAGCTGGTATCTAGAAACTTCTCTGTGTCATCTCAAGTGTTGCCTCATAGGTGACCCAATACAACATAGTAGCTAGTAGATGGCCTGGTTCCAGTTCATCTTATGGAGGTCAAAGACAAAGAAAATAGCAATATGATCTTCTAAGTATAGTGATTCTCAAAAAGGCATTTTGTATAAAGCCTTTTGATGTTGATTCATTTTAGTCTTTTAAAATATATATAATTTTAAATATTTCAAATTCCCCAGCTACATTAAATTTAACAAGGAACGTCTTAACTTTTTGGCTGAATAATGCCTATTATTCCTTAGTTGGAATACTTATCATTATTCTAATTGACAATTTGGTATTCTTTATAATGCTAAAATAAACTATTTAAAAAAAACAGTGTGGAAAATCCAAATGGGTGATAGGCATAAAAATTAAAGGTCTTTCTCCAAAATATTCACTGACACAGATGTCTATCTTTAGGACAGAAGATAAATGAATAAACATAATAGAAAAGAGAGAACTGTAATGGCTTAATTAATAGAATGCATTTTATTTAAAAGGTTAAATTTGGATCATCTTTTATACACATTCTTAGTGCCAGGGAGCAATTTAAATAACAGTAGCAAATGAGAAAATGAGGCAAAATTACATACACTACCAACTTTAAAAAATGGTAACTTATAATTAATACTCAACTTCCATTATAACCTACATCATCTTAGAGCTGCTACTGTAGTTAACTCTTAGTGCTGGTGGTAAAACTTAGAAGTTTCACTGTGCTCTATTTAAATAGCATGGTGACTGGAATGGTAGAAATGTGAATTGTGACAGGTATGTGATTTTAAGAAAAGAACTTATGTACCAGAAATCTAAACAATAAAAATACATAAGTAAATAGTAAAGTACCTAAGCATCAAGTAAGACAGTTTAGGTGGAATAAGAACCAAAGTCTTCTTTCAACTTTACCTAAGGATGGATTCTACTTGTTCTTGGTTATCTTAGAGGGATAATCCAAAGACTGAAAGCATGTCAACGTATCAGCATTTTTATTACAACCGTTTTCATTAGCGCCATTATTAAATACATAGAAGACACCATGGACCTGCCCCCATGAGTCATCTCTACATTTAGTTAGCTAATAGGATTTCTGCACTAACCTCCTGTTTCCTGACATTCAACACAGGATAGATGGA